GTCTAGTGGTTAGAGCAGGGGGCTGGGAGCCAGGACGCCTGGGTTCTGCTCTCAGCGGCTCCCCACTGCCTGGTCTTTGTCCAATGTTAGCCTTCAGCAGCCTGAGCGCTCTGGCTCTTGCCCCCTCCCTGGGGGGGCGCGATTCCTCCTTTCCCAGCCCCCTCGGCGCTGGAGGGTGGCCGGGATCTCTGCCCCCCAGCTCCACTGCACCAGGGTTCAGTCCCCCCAGGGCGAGCTCCCAGTCCGCCCCCCCCCCCCATCCCGGTGCAGCTCCCAGTCCTTGCCCACTTTAGCCCCGCCCCGCGGCTCCCGGCCCCGCCCCCGGGCGGCGCCAGCTGGTGCGGGCGGGGTGCGGGGACTGCAGCCGGCGGAGCGAAGCAGACGGGACGGGACGGGACTCAGGAGGCAGCGCTCCAGCCGAGGGACCCAGGAGTCCGGCCACTCTCCAGCGCGGTAGGTGCCCGGCTGGGGATTAGGAAGGGGGGGGGATGTGTCCCCCTGGCCTTAAATCTGTGCGTGCCCCATAGATCCATCCCCCATGGCCCCCACCCCCTGCGCCCCCACGGCCCCAGCCCCCCGCATAGCCCCCATCCACCCCCATGATCCCTGTCCCTCCATCCACACCATATCCCCCACCCCCTGCAACCGATAGCCCCCTACCCCATCCCCCTCCATCCATCCATATCCGCCCCATCCCCCCATCCCCTCTTCCCTTCCTCTGTCCCCCAATGTACCCCATATCCATCCATCCCCCATAGATCATCCATCCCACCCTCTCTCCATCCTTTCATGCACCCCATCCATCGATCCCTCAAATCCACCCCCATGTGCCCCAACCCCCTCTCCCTTCATCCATCCTCCCATATCCCCCAATCCAGCTCCCATGCACCCCACAGCCCCAATGCACCCTCCATCCATCCCCCCAGCACCTCCAATTAATCCGTCCTTTGTAGAGTGTGTGTGAGATCCCCCCAATCCACCTCCAAACCAGCCCCCCATGTACCCCCATAGCCCTAACCCTTCCTCCATCCATCCCCACCTCACCTTCTGTCCATCCCCCATAGCTCCCATCCCTCCCTTCCTTGATCTAGTCCCCTACCCACCCCTCTGTCCATCCCCCCATATCCATTCACCACTATAGCCCACACCCTTCCACCCATCACCAACCCCTTCATCTATCCCCTCCCCCCGCCCCCGCCATCCACCTATCCACCTCTCTGTGTCCTCTTACACCCTCCATCCTCCCCCCCAGCCCCATACAGCCTTGCACTGCCCTCGGTCCCTCCCCATCCAACCCTCCACCTGCACCCCCTTCCCCTGTACCCTGCTAAGTCTCCATCCTTCCATCCCCCCCAACCTCCATCCATCCATCCCCCCCACACCCCTTCATCTCTCCCTCCCATCCCTCTACACCCCTCCATCTCCCCCACATGCCTCCATCTCCCCGCTTCCCCATCCATCCCTCTACACCCCTCCATCTCCTCATCCCTTCATTCCCCCACATGCCTCCATCTCCCCACTTCCCCATGCATCCATCCATCCCCCCCCACGCCCCTCCATCTCCCCATCCATCCATCCATCCATCCCGCTACACCCCTCCATCTCCCCATCCCTTCATGCCCCTTCAATCGTCTACCTCCCCGCATGCCTCCATCTCCCCACCTATCTATCCATCCCTCTCCATAAACTATCTATCCCCATACACCCCCTATCTATCCCCAGACACCCCCTCTATCTATCTATCCATTCCCAGACACCCCCCATCTATCTATCCCCAGACATCCCCTATCTATCTCCAGACACCCACTCTATCTATCTATCTATCTAATCAACGGCTGAGATTTGACTTTCCCTGGTGAGTTCAGTGTGATGTCCCGTCCCAGCCTGAGGCCTGTGAGCAAACAGCAGAGGGCAGAGAGAGGAAAGGTGGTGCATAGAAAGGGCTAAAGGAACTCGCTGGGGGACAGAGCGAAGGATGGCCAGATATGTTTACCTGGGGGGGGTGCGTGGCTGGATGGATAGACAGGCAGATGTTCCAGTCTCATATGAGCTCCATGGTTCCAGGTGTAAAGCAATTCATTGTCCTGATGGCAGTGCCCAGAATAGAACCCAGGAGTCCTGGCTCCCAACCCCCCCGCTCTAACCCACTAGACCCCACCCTCCTCCCGGAACTGGGGATCCAACCCAGGAAGGTGGATGTTTCAAGTCAATCTTTCTTTCGGACTCCTGGTTTCCATTCCCAGCTGGGTATTGGGAGTGTGGTCTAGAGGGGAAAGGCCCCATATCCCATGCCCTGTCCCCAGAGCCAGCCAGTCCCCCGCTCTGGGGCCGGATGGGAGCCGACGCCCCCTAGAGGTGGAAGGTGGCCTGTCCCCTGCTCCAGCTCGCTAGGGCTGGAACATTGTCTGTTTACCTACTGCAGAAAACTTTCTGGCTTCCCAGCAACACGGGGCTGCACCTGTTTACTGCTGTCCATGCCAGTGACCCCGGGGCCCCGTGCTGAGGAACCATTAATGGGATCGATTTGTTCCCTCTGCGTCACACAAACACCTCCCTGTAGGCAAGAGATGCATGTCAGCATGGCCCTGGGCTGGGGAGAGCAGTGGGATCCAGTGGTTAGAGCAGGGGGGCTGGGAGCCAGGACTCCTGGGTTCTACCCCAACTCTGGGAGGGGAGTGGGGTCTAGTGGTTAGAGTGGGGGGGACAGAGCCAGGATTCCTGGGGTCTATACCTGGCTCTGGGAGGGGAGTGGTGTCTAGTGGTTAGAGCAGGGGGGCTGGGAGCCAGGACTCCTGGGTTCTGTCCCCAGCTCTGGGAGGGCTGTGAGATCTAGTGGTGAGAACAGGGGGTTTCAGGCAATCCTTATAGCTCTGGGGGATGTGAGATCTGCCCCGCCCCCAGCCAGGATGTACAGAAGCGGGAGTGGACGAAGCCACAAGTCCTGCTCCGGTTCGTGCCAATGAACCTGCCCGCGACCCCATCTCCCGGCATCCCACGGGGACCCGTCTCTGTCAGGGAGACAGGTTTGCTCTAGTGATGAGCTGGCTGCACTCCCGGCCCTGGGACAAGCATCCCTCATGGCCGAGCACTCCAGATGCTGAAGGGCCTGTCAGCCGCCCTCCTGGAGAACGACCTTGAAACAGATCAGGGTGTGCCGTGCCTTGTGTGTGTGTGATCCTGGGACCCCTGAGATCGCTGCTCGGGGGGGATCTCTGCTGCCCCCTGCAGGAGGAGCTGAGCCCTGTTCTGGGTCTGTGTGTGCGTGCACCGATCCTTTGGTGTGACCATGATATGTGTGTGTGTGTGTGCACACCTGCCTTTCAGAGAGCAGCACTTCACACCCCGGGCAGGAGTTTGCTTCACTAAGGACTGTCTCTGGCCGTGTGCCTGGGCATTGCCTGGCCTAGCGGGGCCCTGATCTCCCCCGGGTCAGGGACTGTCTCTCATAGCAGGGCCTGGATCCTTAACCCTCCTAGCACCCAGTGGCGGGGAGTCCCATGGGTTAATGATTTGCGGTGTGGCAAATCTGTTTCTTTCTTTCAGCCTTTAGCATGTTGTGTAAACACCGGCTGCTTTTCTGCCCCAGACTCCAGCTCTCCAAAGCGCTTAGGGAAGGAGGTTTATTGTGATTTTCTTATTTTTCTGCACATTGGCCCCTAGCAGCCTTTAGATCCATTCCTGGAAATTGGGAAGTGCTGTTTGGCTTTAACGTCACACAACCAGCAGGTTGGCCATCCCCGCACCATTAGCGCTGACGCCGGGCGGAGTCGCTGGGTGACTGGGGAGGGACAAAGGGCTGAGAGATCAGACACCCCTGGCGTTAGAGACGCCTGAGTACAATGAAGATCCAGCCCAAACCCACAGAGAGATATGCGGCGCCAGGACACCGGGGTTCTGTCCCCAGCTCTGGGAGTGCAGGGGGGGGGGTCTAATGGCTGGGACTGGCAGAGAGAAGTCTGGCTCCCACTTGTACTGGTGGCTTTATTTAGATATTTGGCAACTACGGCTGTGTCCAATACAATAGAGCTGGGGATAGAACCCAGGAGTACTGACTCCCAGCCCCCCCTGCTCTAACCACTAGACCCCACTTCCCTCCCAGAGCCAGGGAGAGAACCCAGGAGTCCTGGCTCCCAGCCCCCCCTGCTCTAACCACTAGACCCCACTCCCCTCCCAGAGCCAGGGAGAGAACCCAGGAGTCCTGGCTCCCAGCCCCCCCTGCTCTAACCACTAGACCCCATTCCCCTCCCAGAGCCAGGGAGAGAACCCAGGAGTCTTGACTCCCAGCCCCCGCTGCTCTAACCACTAAACCCCACACCCATGGATAGAACCCAGGAGTCCTGGCTCCTAGTACCCCCCTGTTCTAGCCACTAGACCCCACTCCCCTCCTAGAGCTGGGCACAGAGCCCAGGTATCAATGTTGATCCAATTGAGCCGTACCCGTGTGGCGTTGCTGTGTGGCTGTTCCCCGGCTGCCCCACCCCAGAGGTGGCTGCATCTCAGTGTCTTGTCACCAAATCTGATCAGCTGCTGCCTCAGTAGTACCCGAAAGCTTTTCCCCATCACCGCAGGGCAGGCTGGGGCAGAGCAGATCTGGGTTTGGTGGTTTGTGGGGGGCTGTAACCCCCATTTTCCCAGGGTCCCCTCACCAGGGGAGGGGCATTGGGCCAGGTCCACATGGGGGCGGGGGAAGGGCAGTGCAGGTACATTTAGGCTCTGAGGTGCTGAGCTGAGCAGAGGGTCTGGCTGGTGTGACTGCGGCCCAGAACCCTGGGCACTAGCTGGCATTTATTCCGGGTAGTTTAAAGCCAGTGGGGCCTAGTGGTTAGAGCAGTGGTGGGGGAGCTGGGAGCCAGGACTCCTGGCTTCTCTCCCCAGCTCTGGGAGGGGAGTGGGGATCTAGGGGGTCAGAACGGGGGGGGGGGGGAGCTGGGAGCTGTGCTTCAGGAGGGTGGGAAGTGAAGTTCCCCTGTGTGGTCCGTACCAGACGCCAGCGGCCGTGAAGCCTGTTCCACTGACCAGCCGCTCTCCCAGGCCGTCAGAGCCCCCAGCGCTTCACCCCTCACCCATTCAGGGGAAGGGAAATTGGGTTTCCTACTTAGATTCCCCTGATCAGGATGATGAAAAAAGCCCTCCCACGCCAGCAGCTAATCTCCCCTCATTAGAGCCATCCATCAGCCTGTCCAGCCGCTGTTTTCGCTAGCTAGCTCTGCATGCACCCTAGCTCTGCCGGTGCCCCTCAATCCCAACCCGCAGCCTCCTGGCAACCCAGCCCTGGGCCCCCCACACACCCTCAGCCGTGCCCAGATCCCCTGCACGCTGCCCCTCACTGGCCTGCCAGGGCTGGGCGTGTACCTCCCATCCTGAGCCGAGCATCTCGTCACCTTCCTAATGGCTGTGACTAGAGTGTGTCTGCGCTGCGATTGCACACCGGGTGTAGACATGCCCTAAGTCGTTCTCTAAGCAGGTGCCCGCCATTAGCGGCTGGGCTGGGGCCGCCAGTTCCTGGATCTACAGTGCAACCTCCTCTAGGGCTGGAAGACGTAAGGGGATACTAGCCTACTATATCTGCCAGGTAACGGAGCGACTCTCTTAGCTCACGTGGGCTGTGCTATTGATTTAAAGGCCCAGGGTTCGAGCTCTGCTGACGGCCTGTGGCCAGGGAGTTGTTGCATGAGGCTATGTGGGTACAGTGTGGAGTTGGTGCCCTCTAGAGGGGAAAGGCCCAGTGTCCCATTCCCTGCCCCCCCACATCCCCTCCGCCCCGAGCCAGCCAGTCCCCTGCCCTGGGGCCAGATGGGAGCTGGTGCCCCCTAGAGGGGAAAGGTCTCATTCCCCACCCTCCTGAGCTAGCCAGTCCCCTGCCCTGGGTCCAGATCAGAAACAGTGCCCTCTAGGGGGGAAAGGCCCCGTGTCCCAGTCCCTGAGCCAGCCAGTCCCCCACCCTGGGTATGGATCGGAACCAGCGCCCCCTAGGGGGGAAAGGCCCCATGCCCCATTTCTGGAGCCAGGGTAAAGCAAATGTATTATTTGATCCCCGCTGATTTCCGAGGGAAACGCCAGCTCAGAACGGAGCCATTCTGGAGTAGCAGCAGGTGGGCTTGGCACTGGGGGGCCAGGAGCAGAGATTGGGGGCTGGGGTGAAAAGAGGGAAGATTTATTTCCCCTGATAAGAGCAAAGAGAGAGAGAACCTGGAGCAGCAGGTCCTTTATTCCATGAGGGCGCCACCCGGCCGCCTGACCCCAGATTGGCACCTCTGACCCGCGGGTTTTAGGGCATTTTGGAGGCCCCGTTGCTAAAACAGGAGTTTTGTTCAACCTTAATGATGCAGTTACGAGCTGATCTTGGTACTTGGCCTGCCGCTCAGGCAGAGAGGAAGGGAGGGCCTGCCTCCCTTTTATAGACTGGGGGAAACTGAGGCACAAAGTGACTTGCTCAAGGTTACACAGGGAGTATAGGGCAGAGCTGGGAATAGAACCCAGGAGTCCTGGCTCCCAAGGGCCGGGTTAGCCTGTTTATTCTCCTAGCTAGAGAGGCGCCCGCGGGGGCCCCGCGTCCTCTCCCCTAGCCCTTCGGGAGGGAGGCGTGGGGCGTTCCGATGGGCAGAGCTCCGTTCAGCTGCCGTGTCGTCTCCTAGCGGAGGAAGGGCCGTGGGAAAGTGTGGGGTTGTTGGCCCACAGTTTGCAGGCAGGGTTGGGGGGATCTTGCATTGCCGCGGTTCCCACGTTCTCACCCGCTGCGCTCGACTGTCTGACAGATAAGGGAGAGGAGAGCTGGCCAGGCCAATCCGGGGCATGCAAATGCGCCAGCTTCAAAGAACACAGATAAGCAATGTACACACATGACCTGGGCTGCCCTGCCTCACAGCGCCCCCTAGCGCCGCTCTGGGGCATTGGGGCAGCCCTGACT